TGGTATACGATTTAACTCTGACATGTTTTCAAAAGTAAAGTCTCCAAACTATGGTACAATCATTACTGAAGTGAATATCCTAATGTCAAAGCTTTAATAAGACTAACAAGTTTTTATAACAAATATATTTTGAGTTAATTTCATTTTCGTAAAACCAAAGTAGGTCCTTTACTTTTTTCTGGCTATTTTGCAAACAATGCAGCATTATACCAATGACACTTTTAATGTTAACTGAGAAGAATGTCTATTATAGTACTGTTAGTCAAATAAAGCAATGATAGTGTTTCTTATATAAGTAATGGAAATGATTTATGTATAAAATATATATAAGTAATTCAAATTCTTGTATTATGTCGGAATTAAGGGTTAACAAATATGGATATAACAAGGAATCAGAAAACTGCTTTATAAACATGTCAATTAATTTGAAACAAAAATCAACTAAATATCGCACAATTTGATATAAGATATTGAGATACAACTGTTTTGCACTTAGATTTATTAAACATGTTACCGAATTGTTGGTGCGAATGGGTTGTAACTCAAGATACAACTGTTTCGTACCAACAAAATATGTCTGTTTGAGTTACAACCTTTGGACTTATTTAGAAGTATAATTTTAACTTTCAAGTTTAATATGTTTACAATTTGTGTGTATATTGCTTCTACATTGAACAAGAGGGCCATGATGGCCCAGAAATCGCTCACCTCTATATATGCCCCCGGGGCGGGGCCAATTTTAACCTGAGGGCTTTTATTTGCACTTGGTAGACACCCATAAGAAGATGTTTCATAATAAATAACTAAGCTCTAGCTCTTTGGGGTTTTTAAAAGATTTTTTTTATAAGTTTTTACTATACACACATAGGGGAAAACAATGACCCTCCATGGCGGGGCCAATTTTGACCCCTGGACTTTTATTTGAACAAACATGGTAGACACTAGAAGATATTTCATGGTAAGTATCTAAACTCTAGCTCTCATGCTTAGTATCTAAACTCTAGCTCTTTGGGTTTTTAAAAAGAAGAATTTTTAAGTTTTTACTACACACATATAAAGAAAATAAATGACCCCCGGGGAGGGGCCAATTTTAACCACCAGGCCCCTTATTTGAACAAACTTGGTAGACACCTATTAGAAGATGTTTCATGCTAAATATCTTAGCTCTAGCTATTTGGGTTTTTTAAAAGATGATTTATTAAGTTTTTCTATGTATAAAAAAGGAAAATCAATGACCCCAAAGGGGCGGGGCGAATTTTAATCCTAGAGCTTTTTATTTCAACGAACTTGGTAGACACTGACTAGACGATGTCCCATGCTAAATATTTAAGCTCTAGCTCTTTTGGTTTTCTGAAAGAAGATTTTTTAAGTTTTATCTTTCGGTGGCAATGACCACCAGAGTTCTGCATGGAATAAAATTCTTTCAACTTTTTTTTAAAGTTGACTACAAAAGGAACATTCCTATGAAGTTTGAAAGAAATTGGCTAAGTGGTTTATGAGGAGATGTTGTTTAAAGTAAAAGTTTCCGGACAGACGTCGGTCGAAAAACGATTGCAAAAGCTCACCATGTCACAGGTGACAGGTGAGTTAAAAACACCACCAAACACCATCAAACCATTTTCGTTAAAAATATGATTTACAACCCTTTCGCACCAATGCATCGATATGCAGTCTAAAATAGAAATCTTATTATCCGTATTTTATTGCGCTCCTACAATCCTTCGATAGTGTGGCAATCCAGGTGATAAAAGATGACTTTTATGATATCATTGAGGTACCTGGTTTTACTTTTTATTCGATAAAGTTAGAAAGTCTGTTGACACCAGTTTCTTCATGAAAAATGAACTTTTTGATTTCACTGAAATATTAAAATGTGATTCTGAATACATGTACATATTTTGGATAAAGTTTTCCCTGGTAAATGACAAGACTTAAATTATTGGAGCAATGTATATCCCACCTACGAGGTTAAATTTTTTTTAAAGAAGATGAACATTTTAGATTTGAGAGAAGGCAGCTGAATATAACTATTGCATTAAAGTAGGGGATGAGAACGCTCCTTGTGCATGTTTGCCGCTTTTTATGTTTTGATAGGTCAATTGCAAGAGGGCTTGACCTTGACGAAGATATTCTTAATGATTTCAACTGTGTAGAAATATAGACCTGAATATCTTGCCGTCTAAGTCGCATGATATATCCGCCTCTGACCCAGTTCCAAATGTGCCACTAAAAAAACTCCAAAATGAACTAATGACGTTAAGTTTGAATTCGTTATGAACATCCTGTATCCTGAAGTTGAAAATTTAAGGACTAAACTACAAAATATGCAGCAGACCCATCCAAAACGACATCGCAAATTTCTTTTCATCTATTTTTACAATGCAGCAAAATTAAGCTTCTCATCGAAAAACGCATTTAGATTTAAAAGACAACATGGCATGGGCCTCAGTGCCAAAATAAAGGCGTATGTGCAATACCGCTAGAAGGAGTGCAACTTACACAAAAAGTATGAAAAAAAAATAAAATCTAAATCAGAAGGGTTTTTGTCACAAAACATATATGTCTCCCAAAACTATGTATGGTCACTTATTTGAAGTTTCATTGAAATCCCACCAGTAGCTCAATGAACTGTGAAAGCCTTAGTGTGAACTTGCGTTTATTTATACTCGCCACCGATGGGCGAGTCTTCCATTTTAGATTTTTGGAGGATAGTGCAATTACAGATACAAAAAAATGCCCCAATTCCAGAAGCTTCCCCTGGTTCTTTAGCGTGACAAGTGTTAAAGCACCCATACACGGGCCCTCGATTTAAAGTCTCATCCGGAAGACTGATTAGTAATTTGGCCAGCCCGGGAATCGAACCCACATTGTCGAGATTACAAATCTCGCGCTCTAACCGATTGAGCTATGCGGGCTGGCATTACCTGTGAAAGGCGGGCAAGATTTTTCTATTTACAGCTCTGACGTCCATTTTGTGCAGCGAAGCGGAACGTGCTGGTGATGTGCACTATAAGGGATGGTACTGATCACTCCTGTAAAGTTTGGTTGAAATCCACCAGTAGTTTGACCTGTGAAGGTCGGACAAGTTTTTTCCTATTTTTAGTTCTGGTGCCATCTTATGCAGAGAAGCGGAACATGCCGGTTACGTGTACAACTAAAGATGGTACTAATCTCTCCTGTAAAGTTGAATTCCGACCAGTAGTTTGACCTGCCTTTAGTTCTGGTGGCCATTTTGTAAACTCTGTTGTATTGTATAAACTTTTTATATTTATCGTCTCATTTAAATAAATGTAACGCTCATTTATGTTTGATAAATGTATATTGCTTATAGAAAAAAATCATATAAATTCTCACTTGATAGTGAAACAAGTACCGATTGCCAACCATCTACATCTTATGGGTCTACAGAAATTCAGGAAGAAAATGATATTTTACGGCTGAGGCTAGAACTGGACGAGACCAAAAAAAGATGTTAAGACCCTGAAACTCAGCTAAACTTGTACTGAAATTACAAAGAAACATGCACATTTAAACGTTTGTTTGGTGTAGCACTCCCTTATATAGTATCGTTATATACTGGATGCCTGTCAAATGTTGAGATCACTAAAAATTCTGGTCTCCATGATTATAAATTTTTTGAAAAAGGTGATGATGTGTTGGCTGATACTATCAGATACTCTCAGAAAGGGAAGTGACATTGAATATTATTCCATCATTTAAAAAAGTTAAAGGCAAATTTACAATAGAAAGAGTGAGAGAGACTGAGCAAGTAGCTAAACTAAGAATACATATACTATTAGAAAGAATTAGTCGAGGAATATCATCTGTTTGACTATCTCCTTAGTTTCTTGGTACCGTTGAAAATGCAAAAACAGAAGCAGAAAAATAACCTGGTATAACTCACCATAAAGTAAAATGTAGAAACCAACATTGGAAAAATGTTTCTGAAAATACTAGACGAAGAATTTCCCAAGGAACACTTGCTACACAAAATATTCAACAGAAACACAGTCAAAATAAGTTATAGTTGCATGAACAATATAAAAAACATAATTTACGGACATAACAAAGCTATTCTTTCTAAAGAAACATTAAAAAATCAGCATTATACATGCAATTGTAGGAAACTAATAGATTGCCCCATGACGATGTTTGATGAAATCGGTTGTATATAGAGCTACAGTGGAAACAAACGATGACAAGCCTAAACAAACATATGTAGGACTAACAGAAAATACCTTTAAAACCCGATTTACAAACCATGAAGCATCATTTAGAATACCTTAGCTTAAAAACAGCACTGAATTAAGTAAATATATATGGGAACTCAAAGAAGAAAACATCGACCTTAACATAACATGGAATGTCTTATAAACAAGCCTCACCCTTCAACCCAGCCTCCGACCGATGCAACTTGTGCCTATGGGATAAAATCTGCATTATCTGCAAACACGAAAACGCTACACTGAACAAAAGAAACGAACTTGTATCAGCCTGCAGACATTCCAGGAAATACCTATTAAGCAAATATATAAAATAAGCAAGTATTAATTAAAGTTTAGTCTCCATTAAAATTTTGAAATGAATACAAAAATTCATTCTTTCTTTGTTATTGATGGCATTTTCCATATATTGAGCAACAATTATCTGCTGATAGTACTAGGGAAGTACAAATTAAAATTCATAAACTACATGTCTACACAGAGTATAGCTCGGTATTAGTTTTTATATGTCTGTTACTAGGTAACAGATCTTTATTATTGAGTTGACAAATTCTGCCCAATACAAATAAAGATTTTCCACAGGTCATTAGGGGTTGTATCTGTAAGATTCAATTTGAAATTACCTTTATGTTGGCATCTTAACAGAACAGCTAAGATTATATGAAAGAAGACACGCAGATTTACACTTAAACCATATAGATCTATTATGTTAGGAAATATGTTAATGTCAGACAGCAAAATTGAAACCGAAAGTAAAAAACCTCTTCTCTTACTCACCTCTAAAATTATAATGGATACCTCACAAATATAATTGAATTCTTTATGCAGTGATTTCTGTCCTGATGAACCTTTCTTCTGTTTAATATATAACTCTACAAATGACAAATTATAAAAAAAACAGAAAACGTCGCAAGAATATGTCATAAAAATATATTTGCTCCACTAAAATACACGTTTTAAGTGGATCGATACTGTTAAATCAATTATGATTACACCGGTTATACTATACAAGAAAGAGAGGTAATTCGATATCTGTACCGTAACATGACAATCTAGTCAACGAATTAGTATGCAGTGTTTCAACTGCGAGATGTGTAGATGTAGTTGGCTTAACCAAAAGACAGTAAACTTAAAAAATATACATATTTTAGTTAAACATACATTGACAGTCCAGTTTATCAAGAAATGGCATGATCCAGTGCTGCAAACAGCTAAATGTTCGAATTATAAATTATTTAAAAGAATTAAAACTTAAATACTTTAAAATCTTACCGTTTAAATCTATTCCATTTAAGATCAGAAAATAACGGGCTCCCTATTGAAACTGGGTCATGCCCAATTTCAAAAATACCGTACAATCAAAGGAAATGCCCATTTTGCACACAGTGCACACAGTGCGATATTGGTGATATTTTTCACTATATCCTCCGTTGTCCACTTTTTGATTATGAAAGAAAGGGATTTATTAAACCATACTACTTCAGGCATCCAAATTTTGCACATATAATTTCTTTAAACTCAGAAACAGTCCTGAAATCTTTAGCCGTAATGGCCGGAAAAGTCATAACATACAATAATTCAACCTTATTATCGCCTTTCCAAAATAAAGTAAAAATAAACTGGCACAGCTTTTTGAAACTTGAAACTTTTCCGTGTTATGGTATGCACAATTATGGAACGCCATAGCTGCCTTATATACACAATTCTATAGTGGTGATGTCCTTTTGATAAATAGTACTGTGATTTGGATAAATGGTGCTGTCGTTTTGATAGATGGTGCTGTGGTATTGATAAATGGTCTTGTGGTTTTGATAAATGGTCTTGTGGTTTTGATAAATGGTGATATCGTTGTGACAGATGGTGTTGTCATTTTAATAAATGGTTATGTGGTTTTAATAAATGGTGCTGTGGTTTTAATAAACGGTGCTGTGGTTTTGATAAACGGTATAGTGGTTAAAAAGATGGTGATGTCTTTGTGATAGTTTAAAAAATGGTGCTATAGTATTGATGGATGGTGATGTGGTTGTAATAAATAGTGCTGCGGTAATAATAAATGGTGATGTCGTTTTTTATATATGGTTTTGTTTGTTACTTTGGTACCTGTTGCTGTCATTTTATATATGGTGCTGAGGTTTAGGTAAATGGTGCTGTAATTTTGATAGATGATGCTGTTGTTTTGATAAATGATGATTATATTTTGCTATATGGTGATGTTCTTTTTATAAATGGTGATACGTTTTTGCTATATGGTGATGTTTTTTTATAAATGGTTATACTATTTTGCTATATGATGATGTTCTTTTTATAAATGATTATACTATGTTGTTGTATGGTGATGTAATTTTCATAAAAATTGGTGATACTATTCTGTATGGTTCGATGATTTTTCATTACGATGATGTTGAACTATTTATAGATCTGCATATATATAAAAAATAGTATAAGCATTTATAAAAAGGACATCACCAAAGAGCAAGATAGTATCACCATATATAGAAAGAACATCAACATACATCAAAATACACAATATATAAAATGACACCACCAGGTACCAAAGTAACACCAACATATATCAAAACGACATCACAATTTATCATAACCGCAACACAATTTATCAAAACCACAGCATCATCTGTCAAAACCGTAAGACCGTTTATAAAAACCACAGCACCATTTATAATCAAAGCACAGAAGGCCTTGAATTTGTTTTGGTCTCAGAATGTTAGAAAGGTGAAGGTTGTATGATTATAAACCAATTTGTTTGTATAGTTTCACCAAAGCTGTTTCCAGAGTTATAACTATAGTAACCTCCAGACCTCTCGACCTTCCAAAGCGAGCGAGTAAACCCATCGACCACGGTGAGTTGTAAGATAACAACCTGAAGAATACTATATTATTCTAAATTAGAGTTTGTAACCCTTATTAATTTCGATATATTTTGTTCACGGTAAACATCTTGTTTAACACTGAAGTAAATAATCATGGAGCTGAATATAAGCATGTACGTATATCTATAAGAATAACACAATATTAGAAATCTTCGACCAATCGAGAACTATTTTTTCGTTACGAAAATTAATGCGCCTGTCATTTGACAATCTTTACGCAGTGATCTCCCCTTTATTCTTTCGGCAGTAACCGGAAGTAACCGCTTCGAGGAGTTTGGACTACTTTCGGTATTTGCAAATAAGAACATCAGGGTCTGAAATTTCGCTACCATTATTTGTTTGGTCGGACGACCCAAACAAATAAAAACCATATCACAATTTATTAAAATGACAGCACCATCTGTCACAACGACATCACCATTTATCAAAGCCACAATCTTGACCATTTATCAAAACCACAGTACCATTTATTAAAACCAGATCACCATTTATTCAAGCGACAGCACCATCTGTCACAACGACATCACTATTTTTATCAAAAGGACATCACCACTTTATAAGTGTGTATATAAGGCAGATATGGCGTTCCATATACAACGCTTACAATAAATTACTCAAGCGAAGAATCTTGCGTTACTTAATAATAAACAATACAAGTACAAATGTTGCTGCGATGCAGCAATTGAGAAGGTCCGCACAAAAAAAATGCGCTCATTACAGATACCTTAACAAATCATTCCTACGCACAGGCCATTTCATATTCAGATTAAGTATTCTTGTACATTTTCGGAATGTTTTGTAAATCATTTTTGCATCATAATACTTATCGTTTACATGTATTGTCCATAAGTTTTTAAATTAAAAAATTGTGCTTGTACTGATGCCTACCTGGTAAGGAAAGTAATTCCATTGAATACAAACAAGACTTACAAGACTTGTAATATGTAATATGACATGACTGTAGTGCAACAGTGTTTGTTTAGTCAGTAACATAAAATGATAAAACTATCAAAGCATGTACATTTTCTTTGTACCTATAAAGGCATCAACAGACGGTAGGACTTAGTTGTATAACACTAATTAGAGATAAGATGTACAATTTTCAAAGCAATACAACACTTGCATTCAGACTGTAATTCTGCATAGTAGGAATCATCTGAGGTTTCCCTAAAATAAAGTTCCGTCCAAATTGATCCCTTACATATTTTACTCACAATTTTTTTCTCTCCATGAGTAATGATTGAAGCACCTTCATATGTTTTTTAATCAATTTTTTTTAATGTGCAGCCTGGTCGAGAATCGAACCTGGGACCCCCAGAATACAGTACTTCGGCTCTACTGACTGAGCTATCCGGCCGCCTACAAACTACATCCCTGATTGAGTTCAATACAGGGACATACTCATTATAATTTGCGATTCGAACATACCACAACTTTGGGTCTCCTGAAGAGTTTTTCACCATCATGTTTATCCCATTTTACTACTATGTTTACCTTTTAGCCCTATTTGTTCTGGAATTTCATTCATTACACCCATTATCAGGCGATAATTTGGTAATCTGTTACTTGTAATTGTGGGAGGTCTGTAGAAATCTGTACGACAAGATTTTTAAAATAGAACATGTCCTATCCCTTACATCTAGACTTAAGTTTTACGATATCAAGAAATAGTAGTCTTCACACATTAAAATTTGTTGGTACATCTTAGTTTTAATTGGTGTTGTACTTCAAAATCCTACCGTCTGTTGAGAATCCTACTCATTTTCTACAAATATGAACAACTAATCATGGTAGAAATACAAAAATTCATATGTTAATAAGCCAAAACACAAACTTTCATTGACTTTACTTTTCAAAATGTCCTTTGCATGTTTCGCGGTAAATAATTATCATGATATAACAAGAGAAACATTGATGCAAAGCATCAAAGGGCATCCAAGCAATTACTCTATCTCAATCCATTGAGAAGTTGCAACACTTTGAAATCAGTTTAGATGGGGGAAAAAACCAAAATAGTGATTTTAGGCAATTTTGAGACGTCCCCCGTTACTATGGTAACAGGAAATTTAAGATTGAGCAAGCTGTTACAGAGGCTATTGTCCAGTTGACATTTGTGCCAAGTTTCATCAGTATTGAAACATTTTACATAGAAGTTTGAACTTGTAACTAAATAACTGTTTAAACAGAAATCTATTTAAACACGTTTTCGCTGAAAATGTCTTTCATTTAGAACTCTATGCTTGTATAGATTAAGTCCAAGTGAAAGCATGATAATTAAATCAATTAAAATAAAATTATGCATCATAATTATATACTAGCAAGAGTCTAAAAGCAAATTAAACACTTAAACAACAACAACTCAACTCAAAGAACCCCAACAAAAAATCAGCTTATATACCCTGTTGTTTGCGTTATGTGCAAAAGTGGACTGGCGCGCGACCCACTTGCGGAAACCAGTCTGAACGACTCCTTACCAGTCTGAACGACTCCTTGTGTGACCTTAACAATGTTCAAAATAGTGCACAAGTGGTTTATGTATATAGCCTGTTGTGCAATACAAACATAAGTACAAAAATACATAAATATACATCTTAACATTTGTTCAACTTACAAATTCGCAGTAATAATAATTTTGAATTTAATGATTTTTCAATCAATATGTTTTATTTGAATATATTTCCTCACACTTTCTCGGAAAATGAAATTAAGCTTGAACTTGTATACAAAAGAAAAAACGTTAAATCAACCTCTTTTATAATTCGCTTCGCTTAAACGAAAATAAATCATTCATCCCCAGACCTCAAGACAGGGACAGAATAAACAACAACACTGAAATAGGATTAAGGCCTTCGCATACATATCAATACAAAGTATAAGACTTTATGTCTTCGGAAGGTGAACCTCTAAACTAGCTCAATTAACTATTATCTTAATCATTAATATGTCGATATCTACGGATAATAACAACCAAACGCTTTACTGCCAGTAAAGTTAAAAACGTGCTTTATTCACTGACTACAGTTATATTCTAACATTTGGCTTATCTTGATGTAACAAAATAAAATAATGGCTATTTTAAGTCAGAACAAACTGTTTAAGACTGACAACAGTTAAAGGGATGGGTGGGTGGTCAGTACGACCTGTACAGTACAATGCGAAGTCATCGAGTGCCGTATCTATCCGCCTGTCAATAACATATATACTTCAAGTTCAGTGAGCACGAAATAATCTTGCTAAACTATGACACAACTAATTTAACCGTACATCTATAACTTTTAAACTGCAGTAAAAACATTTTTTCTCTTCTTTATGAATGGAACCCTCTTCTAAAACCCGATGCTAGCCTACAGTAGGTCCTATTTTTCTACCCATATTTAATGTTGCCTTAATTTTGGTATGTATCATGTTGTCACTTTTTGTGAACTGATATGAAAAACGAAGATATTTTGACTTTGACTTTGGATATGTTCATTCTCTATCAAACATGAAACCTAAGGACCCCATTTGGGTTTCTTTTTCGATATAAATGAGGAAGTTTCAAAGAATACTGCAAAATGCAAGGGTTGTTAAATGATAGTGAGTGCCAAAGGTGAGAGGCTAAAAGCCTGCCAGTTCAGCTTCCATTGAGCGCATCTTTCAAATTTTGAACTGGTTCAAAATAAATTAAGAAACAAACTTGGAATGCAAAATTTGCTACGTTAGTTTCCTGCCACAGAATGCAGAGAGGAAAGGAAAAGATAGAGTGAT